AAATTGATAGTAAAGCTAAAACTGAAAAACAAAATTATGTGAAAATTAAACAATGATTTCTCCATTTAAAATTTTTAAAAATTTATTTATTTGAGAGAGAATGTGTTCTTATATGCTAGTCTACTCTCTAACCTCCCACAATGGCCTGGGAAACAGTCAGAAGATGGGAACATGATCCAGGTCTCTCATGTGAGTGGCAGAAGTTCAACTTTTTGATCAATCATGGTTGGTTTCCACATTGTACTTTAGCAGAAATCTGGAATCAGGATCCAAAGGCAGTACTCAAACACAGGTACTCCAATGTGGGACCCAAGTATTTTAATAGTGACTTAACTGCTAGGTATAATGCCTTTCCCAAACAGTATATTCCTTTTTCTTTTAAATTTTATTTAAGGTATATAAACTTCATTAATTTCATATATACAAATTTAGGAACATAGTGATTCTTCCCACTCTAACCTCCCTTCCACCTTCACTCCCACACTTCTTTCTCTTTCCTCTCCTTTTCTCATTCTTATTTTTTACAAAAATCTATTTTCAGTTAACTTAATATTTAGCTAAATAATCCAGTGGCCTCCAAAACAAAATGATATATTCTTGATCAGCCAACTAGTCCAAGAAAAAATCATTTGGAAAATTATAAAATATTTTGAATGAACAGAAATGAAAACACAATACAATGAAATTAATGGGATGCAGTAAAAACTGTGCTTAGAGGAAGGTTTATAGCAAACACTTCCAGTAGAAAAATGAGAAAGACCTCAAAACAATGCTGAACTGTACAGCTTGAGAAACTAGGACAAGAAAAACAAACTAAGCCAAAAGTTAGGAGATAGAACAAAATATATCAGAAATAAATGAAAGAGTGTAAAACAAAATGAAAATCAATTAAGTTAGGTTGTTTTCTTAAACATCAACATATTGGTAAGTGCTTATCTATACCAACTAATAACAAAGAATAATCAGAAAACGAGCATCATAAATGAAAGGAGATATTACAAATGATGCCACAAAAATGAAAAAAAGATCTAATGATATTACTAAGAAAAACTATGCATCAGTAAACTAAAAAAACATAGACTAAACTGATAAATTCTTTAAAACATAAAACCGATCAAGTTTTAGTTATGAATGAGCAAAAATATCCAAGTTAAAACTAGCAAGGAATTGAATCAGTAATCTAAAACACTCAACAAAGAAAAACCTATCAGGAGAATTAGTCACTGGAGAATGCTATGAAGCATGTGAAAAGAATTAAACTACTATTTCCTGAAGTATTTTTAAAAATTGAAGAGGAGGTAGCACTGTCAAACACATTTTATGAGGTCAGTATTATCTTTATACAAATTTCAGACAAGAATCTATGAGAAATAAACTACAGATCAATATCCCCAACAAATAACAATGGAAAATTCTTAACAAGATACTAGGAAACTGAATTTAAAACCACATTTAAAGGATTATATGTCATGAAAATATGAGATTTATTTTAGAAAAAAAGGACTGTTCACACATGAAAATTAAATAATATACAACATTAACACACTAAATGGAAAAACCATAAGATCTCAACTACTGAGAAAAAGATCATAAGACAGAATTCAATTCATAATAAAACATCATATACATTAGGCCAGCGCTGCAACTCACTTGGCTATTCCTCCACCTGTGGGGCCCACACCCTGGGTTCTAGTCCTGGTTGGGGTGCTGGATTCTGTCCCGGTCGCTCCTTTCCCAGTCCAACTCTCTGCTGTGGCCCGGGAGGGCAGTGGAGGATGACTCAAGTGCTTGGGCCCTGCACCTGCATGGGAGACCAGGAGGAAGCACCTGGCTCCTGGCTTTGGATCGGCACAGTGTGCCAGCCGCAGCGAGCAGATTGTAGTTGCCATTTGGGGGGTGAACCAACGGAAGGAAGACCTTTCTCTCTGTCTCCCTTTCTCACTTTCTAACTCTGCCTGTCAAAAAAAATTATATACATTAGAAATAAAAGGAGAGTGACTCAACAAAATAATGGTCAAAGTTAATGTACTCAACAGAGAAAACTAAACGTGTTTTATTGCATGAATCTTTTTTTTTTTTTAAATAACCTCATGAAAGAGAGGGAGGGAGAAGCTGGGTGAGAGGGAGAGAAAGAGAGGGAGAGAGGAGAAACACTCCCATCCACAAGTTTTCTCCCCAGCTGTGCAGAGCATCTAGGACTAGATAAGGCTAAGCTTGAAGCTCAATCTGGATATTTCACATGGGTAATAACCCAATCACCTAGCCGTCACCCATTTCCTCCAATTGTCCACACAGTCAGGAATCTGGAATCAAGGATTGAAACTGGAATCACATCTAAGCAATCTGCCAATATAAATTGAGACATCCTGACTAAATGATCACCTATGATTTGTGCACGTCTGTAAAAAGATAAACAAGCAAAGCCACACTTTTTCCACTTTTATTCAACATACTGTTGGATATCCTCATTGGAAAATTAGATTTTGAAAAATAAAATTAAATGAAGTAGGAAAGGAAGATGTAACACTCTTTAATCTGTACATGATTTGATCTTATATGTAGGAAACATTATAAACATCACAAAATGTACTTCTAGAACTAATCAATTCAGCAATGTTGCAGAATACAAAATCAGCATGCAAAAATCAAGTGCGTTTCCATACAGCAAAAGCAAACTATTTGAAAAGGAAATTAAGAAACTTATTACATGTAGTCTAGCAACTAAAAAAGAAAGTGCTCAGAAATAAACTTAACCAAATAGGCAAAAAAAAATCTTTTCTGCTGAAACTACAAAATACTACAGTGGAAATCAATGGTATAAATGGAAAAATAAAAACAACTGTGCACCTTAAATATAACTGAAACACCTGAGATAGTCTGTTTTATAAACAAGAAAGGTTTATTTTGGTTCATGATTCTGAAGATTCAATTCAAAACAGCAAAAAACAGACCAACAAGGACTCTGCTTGGCTCCTTCAAATAATTGTGGGAGCACCCATTTAAGTGTGGCTTTCACCCCACTAAAGTCATAAGGATTCCGTGTTAGGGTGTCCGTTGTAAATACCTAATATAGTCTAATCAAGTTCCAAAATGCACAGTTCTAAACATAAGGATTCAATAGAGTTAGTGCACAGATCTATTTGGAGGATCAAACTCCTGCATGAGTTTGAATGTTTAATCACACTCAAACCATAGTTGCATTACATATTCATGGATTGGAAGACTTAATTTTTTTAACTTTTATTTAATGAATATAAATTTCCAAAGTACAGAATATGGATTACAATGGCTTCTCCCCCATAACGTCCCTCCCACCCGCAACCCTCCTATTTCCCACTCCCTCTCCCCATCCATTCACATCAAGATTCATTTTCGATTCTCTTTATATATAGAAGATCAGTTTAGCATACATTAAGTAAAGATTTCAACAGTTTGCTCCCACACAGAAACATAAAGTGAAAAATACTGTTTGAGTACTAGTTGTAGCATTAAATCTCAATGTACAGCACACTAAAGACAAAGATCCTACATGAGGAGTAAGTGCACAGTGACTCCTGTTGTTGACTTAACAAATTGACACTCTTGTTTATGGTGTCAGTAATCACCCTAGGCTCTTGTCATGAGTTGCCAAGGCTATGGAAGCCCCCTGAGTTCACTGACTCTGATCATATTTAGACAAGGCCATGGTCAAAGTGGAAGTTCTTTCCTCCCTTCAGAGAAAGGTACCTCCTTCTTTTATGACCTGTTCTTTCCACTGGGATCACACTCGCGGAGATCTTCCATTTAGGTTTTTTTTTGTTTGTTTTTTTCCCCCAGAGTGTCTTGGCTTTCCATGCCTGAAATACTCTCATGGGCATTTCAGCCGGATCCACATGCCTTAAGGGCTGATTCTGAGGCCAGAGTGCTGTTTAGGACATCTGCCATTCTATGGGTCTGCTATGTATCTCACTTCCCATGTTGGATCGTTCTCTCCCTTTTTTATTCTATCAGCTAGTGTTTGCAGACACTAGTCTTGTTTATGTGATCCCTTTGGTTCTTATTCCTATCATTATGACCAATTGTGAACAGGAATTGATCACTGGGACTAGTGAGATGGCATTGGTACATGCCACCTTGATGGGATTGTATTGGAATCCCCTGGTATGTTTCCAACTCTACTGTTTGAGCATGTCCCGAATTGCACATCTCTTCCCTCTCTTATTCCCACTCTTATATTTAACAGTGATCACATTTCAGTTAGGTTTCAGCACTTAGGAGTAATTGTGTATTGATTACAGTCTTCAACCAAAAGTATTAAGTAGAACAAACAAAAAAATACTAAGAGGGATAACATATTAAGTTGCTCATCAACACTCAGGGTGATGGCTGATCTTAATATTAATAAAATGTCCATACCATCCAAAGAAAGCTACATATTTAATGCAATCCCTATCAAAATTCCAATGAGAAGTGTTCATTGTGGCGCAATGCATTAAGCTATTCCTTGGGACATCCACATTCCATATTGGAGTGCTTGGGAATGAGTTTTGCCTCTGCCTTCTTCTTCTTCTTTTTTAAAATGATTTACTTATTTATGTGAGAGGCATAGTTACAAAGAGAAGAGGAGACAGAGAGAGAGGTCTCCCATCCACTGGTTCATTCCCCAAATGGATGCAAGGCCAGAGCTGATCCAATCTGAAGCTAGGAGCCAGGAGCTTCTTCCAAGTCTCCCATGTGGCTAAAGGGGCCCAAGCACTTGAGCCATCTTCTACTGCATTCCCAGGGCATCAGCAGGGAGCTGGATAAAAGGTGGAGGAGCCAGGACTTGAACTGGTGCTCATAAGGGACGCTGGAGCCTTAGGTGGATGCCCAACTTATTATGCCACAGCACCAGCCCCTGCCTCTGCATTTTTATTCAGTTTCCTGATAATGTACCTGGGAGACAACAAAAGTACTTCTCCCAGGTCTTTCACCTAGGTGCAGGGCCCAAGAACTTAGATCATCTTTTTCTGTTTTTCCAGGCCAGTAGCAGGGAGCTGATTGGAAGTGGAACAGCCAGGACTCAAACTGAAGCCCATACAGGATGCAAGTGAAGCAGGCAGTGGCTTGACACATTATGCCAGAATGCTGACACCCAAAATAAGTATTTAAAAAAAAGGATTTAGAGCTAATGTTGTGGCACAGCAGATTAAAAGCCACTGCCTGGGAATGGATATCTCATACCATAGTGCTGGTATAAGTCTGCCTGCTCTGCTTCTGATACAGCTTTCTGCTTAGGCACCTGGGAAGGTGTGGAAGATGTTCCAAAAATTTGGGCCTCTTGCAACAACACATGAGAAAGATCATACAACCAGACCAAGTGGAATTTATCCCTAGTATGCAGGGATGGTTTAATGTGCGCAATCAATGTGATACACCACATTAACAGACTGCAGAAGAAAAAACATATGATTATCTCAATAGATGCAGAGAAAGCATTTGATAAAAGACAACACCCTTTCATGATGATAACTCTAAGCAAACTGGGTTTGGAAGGAACGTTCCTCAATACAATCAAAACGATTTATGAAAAAACCACGGGCAACATCCAATTGAATCAGGAAAAGTTGGAAGCATTTCCACTAAGCTCTGGTACCAGATGAATGCCCACTCTCAGCACTGCTATTCAATATAGTTCTGGAAGTTTTAGCCAGAGCTATTAGGCAAGAAAAAGAAATTAAAGGGATACAAATTGGGAAGGAAGAAGTCAAACTATCCCCTTTGCAGATGATGTGATTGTTTAGGGGACCCAAAGAACTCTACTAAGAGACTATTGGAACTCATAGAAGAGGTTGGCAAAGCATCAGGATATGAAATCAATGCACAAAAATCAACAGTCTTTGTATACACAGGCAATGCCGTGGCTGAGGAAGAACTTCTAAGATCAATCCCATTCACAATAGCTACAAAAACAATCAAATACCTTGGAATAAACTTAACCAAGGATGTCAAAGACCTCTATAATCAGAATTACAAAACCTTAAAGAAAGAAATAGTAGAGGATACCAAAAATGGAAAATCTTCCATGCTCATGGGTTGGAAGAATCAATATCATCAAAATATCCATTCTCCCAAAAGCAATTTATAGATTCAATGTGATACTAATCAAAATACCAAAGACATTCTTCTCAGATCTGGAAAAAATGATGCTGAAATGCATATGGAGGCACAGAAGACCTCAAATAAAGCAACCTTGTACAACAAAAGCAAAGTCTGAGACATCACCATACCAGATTTCAGGACATACTACAGGGCAGTTATAATCAAAACAGCATGGTACTGGTACAGAAACAGATAGATAGACCAATGGAACAGAATAGAAATACCAGAAAGCAATCCAAACATCTATAGCCAACAACAATTCAAGGAGTAAGAACTGTCTATTCAACAAATGGTGCTGGGAAAACTGGATTTCCATGTGCAGAAGCATGAAGAAAGATCCCTACCTTACACCTTACACAAAAATCGACTCAACATAGATTAAAGATCTAAATCTCTGACCCAAAATCATCAAATTATTAGAGAACATCAGAGAAACCCTGCAAGATCTAAGTACAGGCAAAGATTTCTTGGAAAAGACCAAAGAGGTACAGGCAGTCAAAACCAAAATTACCAATTGAGATTACATCAAATTGAGAAGGTTCTGTACTGCAAAAGAAACAGGAAAGTGAAGAGGCAACTGACAGAACGGGAAAAATATTTGCCCATTATGCAACCAATGAAGGATTAATAAACAGAATCTACACAGAGATCAAGAAACTCCACAACAACATCAAAAAACAACCCATTTAAGAGATAGGCCAAGGACCTCAATAGACATTTTTTAAAAGAGGAAATCCAAACAGCCAGCAGACACATGAAAAAATGTTCAAGATCACTAGCAATCAGGGAAATGCAAATCAAAACCACAATGAGGTTTTACCTCACCCAGGTCAGGATGGCTCACATACATAAATCAAATAACAACACATGTTGGCGAGCATGTGAGCAAAAAGGGACACTAATCCACTGTTGGTGGGAATGTAAACTGGTAAAGCAACTATGGAAGACAGTTTGGAGATTCCTCAGAAACCTGAATATAGCCCTACCGTATGACCTAGCCATCCCACTTCTTAGAATTTACCCAAAGGAAATTAAATTGGCAAATAAATGAGTTGTCTGCACCTCAATGTTTATTGCAGTGCAATTCACAATAGTGAAGACCTGGAATCAACCTAAATGCCCATCAATAGAAGATTGGATAAAGAAATTATGGGATATGTACTCTATAGAATACTATACAGCAGTAGAAAAAAAAAAAAAAAACGACACCTAAAAGGAATCCTGTAGAAGTGAAATAGACACTATGAGAAACAAGGGGTTGATCAGCCCTTGTCCTGACTGTCGAGGAACAACTTACTATTTTATTCCTTTTAGTATTTTCTTGTTCTTCTTAACATTTATTGAACCCTTTAATTAACATACAATTCTTCTTAGGTGTTTAAATTTAACTGAAAATTGATCCCTGTTAAATATAAGAGTGGGAATAAGATACAGAGGAGATGTACAGTTTGGCACATGCTCACTCAGACTTACCCTTAATAGTAGAGCTAGAAACGTGGCAGGGGATTCCAATTCAATCCCATCAAGGTGGCATGTACCAATGCCATCCTACTAGTCAAAGTGATCAGTTTAAGGTCATAATTGATCATAATGATAGAAGGGATCACATAAACAAGACTAGTGTCTGCAAATACTAACTGATATAATTAAAAAGGAGAATACGATCCAACATGGTAAGCATGATACACAGCAGACTCATAGAATGGCAGATGTCCTAAACAGCACTCTGGCCTCAGAATCAGCCCTTAAAGCATTCAGAGTTGGCTAAAAAGCCCATGAGAGTTTCTCAGGCATGGACATCCAAGACCATGTGGCAAAAAAAAATGACCTAAATGAAAGAAGTCTGTGAGATCTCATTGGAAAGAATGGGCCACCAAAGAAGAAGGTACCTTTCTCTGAAGGGAGGAGTAAACTTCCACTTTGACTATGGCCTTCTCTCAATAAGATAGGAGTTGGCAAACTCAAGAGGCTTCCATAGCCTTGGAAGTCATGACAAGAGCCTCTGGTGATTACTGGCATCATAAATAAGAGTGTCAATTGTTAAATCAACAACGGGAGTCACTGTGCACTTACTCCCCTTGTAAGATCTCTGTCCTTAATGTTTTACTATGCGAATTAATGGTAAAACTACTACTCAAACAATACTTTACACTTTGTGTTTCTGTGCAAACTGTTGAAATCTTAGTATATGCTAAATAGATCTTCTGTATATAAAGAAAATTGAAAATGAATCTTGATGAAAGATGGGATGGGAATTGGAGTGGGCGATGAGATGGTTGTGGGTGGGAGGGAGTTTATGGGGCAAAAAGTCACTATAATCCAAAAGTTGTACTTTGGAAATTTGTATTTATTAAACAAAAGTTGAGAAAAATAAACAAAATAAAATAAGAGTTGCTCAAAAAAAATTTTGAGCTCTAACACCATGTGAGAAACAAGAATTGAGTTCCTGGCTCCTGGCCCAGACCTGCCTGTCCTTGCCATTTCGAGAGTGAACCAGCAAATGGAATATCTTTATCTCTTTCTCTGTTTCTCCTTCTCTTTCTGTTATCTGCCTTTCAAATAAATAAGTAAATCTTTTAAAAATAGGAATTTTGTTTTAATTCTGTAAATTTCATTTCTTTAATTGAGATCAATATTTTAGATATTTGAAATTGACTTGCAATATTATAGATTTAATGTCAGAGAATAACCCAGTAACATTCAATACTTGAGAATAAAACTTTTCCCAATCTGGTCATCACATTTGCTAGCATTCATTTTTGTGCTTCTTAGTATACCCAAGCTGATATAGGAGAGACTTATATGAGCTAAACTCAAGGCACTCATATATAATGCTAAATTGTTTAATAATGAGACAGTTATTGATTTGTGGTGTTTTCAAAAATCATTAGATTCTAAACGAAGGAGGAAGCATCCTTCTCTAATTTGAATACACAAGGTCAAAAACATAGAAACATGGAGTTTAACAGTTTCAGGGCCATGGAATTATTCTTGCTTTCCTTTATTTCTCCGTACTGCATAGCAAATAAACTGCAAAATCCCTTCCAAAAATAAACAGAAATCTGGTTATGAAAAGCACAGCAATATCCCCATTTGTACTATCACTGTGGGATATTTGGTTTCTATTTTTTTTTCTTCTGATACTGTATCAGGTTAAAATTAATGTTCATTTTCTTTCAGAGAGATTCCCATTTATAAAGTAATCAATAACAGACATTTGGTTTCAAATTGTTCATGTCACCATCATCATTTGCTAAAATCTATTCAACCTAATCACTAGTGTGATACTTTGAAATTGCAGGTCTGATCATCATATTTTTCTTTTCATAATTTTTTATCTTATAATTTTAGTTAATTGCCCAGAAAGTCCCTTCATTGATATTCTTACTCTGCTTTCATGTTCTACTACAGAAAACTTTTTGACGTGATTTCTTTATGTGTACTTCTGTCTCACTGGTCTTTTTACAATAATTTGAATCCTCCAAACACAAAACCTGAATGCAATTGCACTTTTTTTATGATAATAATGGATAACTTTTTCAATATGGTAGAATTGGCAGAAACAGTATGGTGGAAATCTTCAAAGAATTTTTTTGGTAATTTTATTCAAATTATACAAGTTTCATGTATTTCATATATACAGATTTAGGATCATAGTGATACTTTCCACCCTACACTTCCTCCTGCCCATGTTCCCACTCTTTTTCCTCAAACTTCTCCCATTCTAACTCTACAAAGATCTATTTTCTGTTTACTAAATGACTATAAGGTTAACCCTATGCTAAGTAAAAAGATTCAACAAACAGTATGAAGAAAAAAAATAATTGTTCCTCAAAGAAAGATACAAGAGCTGTAAACAGACATCAAATCTCAAAATGTCCATTTCACTCAAATACATTACATTTTAGGTACTGTAATAGTTATCACAGAACAGAGAAAACATATGATATCTGCCTTTTGGAGACTGGCTTAATTCACTAAGTTTAAAGGCTTCTAGTTGAATCCATTTTGTTGCAAGAGATCAGATTTAATTTGTTTTTTACATCTCAGTAGTACTCCATAGTCTATGTATACTGTAATTTCTTTATCTAGCCAACACTTGATAGACATCTGGGTTGATTTCACATCTTAGCTATTGTGAATTGAGCTGCAGAGAACAGGAAGGTAAAGATAACCCTTACATTTGTGGATTTCATTTAATTTGGGTAAATTCCCACAAGTGGGATGGCTGGATATATGGTAAGTCTATATTCAGATTTCTGAGGTATCTCTATGCTGTCTTACACAGTGGCAGGACCAGTTTACATTCCCGCCAACAGTGGAATAGGGAACCCACATCCTCACCAGCATTTGTTCTTTGTTGATTTCTGTGTGAGAGCCATTCTAAATGAGGTGAGGGGAAAACTTACTGTGGTTTTGATTTGCATTTCCCTGATGCCAAGTGATTCTGAGTTTCTTTTCAAGTATGTATTGGCCATTTGAATTTCCACTCTTGAAAAATGCCTGTTCAAGTCCTTTGCCCATTTCCTATCCGGATTGTTTGTTTTGATGTTGTTAAATTTCTTGAGCTCATTATAGATTCTGGTTATTAATCCTTTATCAGTTGTGTAGTTTGCAAATATTTTATCCAATTCTGTTGGTTGACTCTTCATTTTGCTGAGTGTTTATTTGCAGTTCAGAAGCTTCTCAGCTTGATGTAATCCCACTTGTCTCTTTTTATGCCAGCACAAGGCTGTTTTGATTATAACTGTCCTTCAGTATGTCTTGAAATCTGCTATGGAGATGCCTCTGGCTTTGTTTTTGTTGTATAAGATTGCTTTAACTATTTGAGGTCTCTTGTGATTCCACATGAATTTTAGGATCATTTTTTCTATATCTGAGAACATCATTAGTATTTTGATTGTGATCACATTAAAACTGTAATTTGCTTTTGGTAGTATGGACATTTTGATGATATTGATTCTTCCAATTCATGAACATGGAAGACTTCTCCATTCTTTGTCTTTCTTCTACTTATTACTTTAATGTTTTATAATTTACATGATGGAGATCTTTGAAATCATTGGTTAAATTTATTACAAAATATTTAATTCTTTTTGTAGCTATTGTGAATAGCATTGATCATAAAAGTTCTTTCTCAGCAATTGCATTATTTGCACATTCAAAGGCTATTGGTTTGCCTGTTATTTTCGTATCATGCCTCTTTACCAAACTCTTTTATGAGTTCTAAGAGTCACTCAGTGGAGTCTTTTGTAACCCTATATAGAATCATGTTATCTGCAAATAGAGACAGTTCGACTTCCTCCTTTCCAATTTGTATCCCATTGCTTTCTTTTTCTTGGCTAATGGCTCTGGCTAAATCTTCCAGGACGATAGTGAATAGCCATGGTGAGAGTGGGCATCCTTCTCCAGATTTTAGGGGGTGTGCTTCCAATGTTTACCCATTCAATAATATGCAGACCATAGCTTTGTCATAAATTGGCTTCATATGTTAACTAATGTTCCTTCAGTACCCAATTTGCTTAAGGTTTTTATCATGAAAGGATGTTGTATTTTATCAAATGCTTGTTCTATATCTTTTGAGATAAATTATATGGTTCTTGTTCTTCAACTTATTAATGTGATAGATCACATTTATTGATTTGTAAATGTTGACCAATCTCTGCATACAAGTGCTAAATCCGATTTGGTTCAGGTGAATAATATTTCAGATATGTTGTTCTCTTTCTCTGTAATATCTCCTCCTGGTCTAGGAATTAACGTGATACTGGCTTCCTAGAAAGAATTTGGGAGGATTCCCTCCCTTTCAAATATTTTGAGTAGCTTGTGAAGAATTGAAATTAATTCTTCTTGGCCAGCGTCCCGGCTCACTAGGCTAATCCTCCGCCTAGCGGCGCCGGCACACCGGGTTCTAGTCCCGGTCGGGGCGCCGGATTCTGTCCCGGTTGCCCCTCTTCCAGGCCAGCTCTCTGCTGTGGCCAGGGAGTGCAGTGGAGGATGGCCCAAGTGCTTGGGCCCTGCACCCCATGGGAGACCAGGAGAAGTACCTGGCTCCTGCCATTGGATCAGCGCGGTGCGCCGGCCGCAGCACTCTGGCCGCGGCGGCCATTGGAGGGTGAACCAACGGCAAAGGAAGACCTTTCTCTCTGTCTCTCTCTCTCTCACTGTCCACTCTGCCTGTCAAAAAAAAAAAAAAAAAAAGAATTAATTCTTTAAATGTCTGGTAGAATTCAGCAGTAAAGTCATTGGTCCTGGGCTTTTCTTTGTTGGGAGGATCTTTATTATTGATTTAATTTCTGTCTTGGTTATTGATCTGTTTAGATTTTCTGTGCTTTCTTGACTCAATTTTGGTAGACTGCATGTTTCTAGGAATCTATCCATTTCTTCTAGTTTTCCCAAATTGTTGACATACAGCTCTTTATAGTGATTCGTGATGATTCTTATTATTTCTGTAATATCTGTTGCTACATTTCCATCTCCTTCTCTGATTTAATTGATTTGGGTCATTTTATTTTTTGGTTAGTTGAGCCAATCATGGATCAATTTTGTTTATTTTTTTCAAAAAACAGCCCTTCATTTCACTTATCTTTTGAATTTTTTGTTTCAATTTTGTATATTTATTCTCAAATTTTAATTAATTTTTTCCTCCTACTAATTTGAGGATTTGTTTGTTGTTATTTAGGTCCTTGAGATACATTGATAGCTCATTTATTTTGTATTTTTTTCAATTTCTTCATGTTGGCACTGATTACTATAGACTTTCCTCTTAACACTGCTTTTGCTGTATCTCATGTTTTGATATGATGTATTGTTGTCTTCATTCATCATTAGAAATTTTTTGATTTCTCTCCTAATCACTGCCACGAGTACTACTGAGAAGATGGTTTCATGTTTCAGCCAATTGCTGTGCATGCACACAGGCCTTCTACAGCAGCTGCCCAAGGCCAAAATGGCACCTGCCCTCTCTCGGCCAGATTCTGGGGGCAATTGTGACCAGGATTTGGTGAGAGAAACGTGCCCCTTTTACTTAAACTGGGTTCGAGGATACCTGCTAGCCACTAGGAATCCAGGCTAGACTCATGCCATGATCTCCCTCCAGCTATATTACCAGGAATTGCTGCAGTCTGGTCTCACCTTTGTCTCCAAGCTGCCACCCACTCTAGCTCCCAGCTGCTGGAGTTGGGTGTTATGTCTATGTTTGTGCTGTATGTCCACACCTTCCACACACAGGTCCCTGGCAT